TAGAAGACGTGGTTACATGTACACGACCAGCGGAGAAACGTTCTTACGTATAATCGAGTCGTTGCGTTATGCCAGACAGGAAGTTTTTTAATCACGTTTGCCCAACTAGTAGATATTACTCGTGTTGGTAAGGTCCTCGGATTAAAGCATTCGCCTCGGTTCCTGGACGTTATTCATAGTTGTTCTCGCTCCCTTTTTCTTCGTTTTCTTACCTTGCTCCTACGAGTTTGTATTAATCGCGCGTAGATGGCGGCACGATCGGCATAAACGAGGGTTAATTCTGGAAATTTTAAGAGTTTCTGCCAATGGTGCTTTCAAAATGATAATCCACGTGTTCATACGTGGGTATACACAGATCAGATCGTTCATTTTGAGAGATCTTTATGTATTACGAACTATTCTAAATTATCCAGGTATCAGACCTTAGAGATATGTATAATAATCCAATGGAATAATCGCAACGTAGTAGTATCGGATCATGAAGGAATTGATGATTTGAACTCTCGTAATATGGTCTTTAGCAAAAATCCGATTAGTTAACGATTCCCTGTTTTGTATTAGCTTGAATAACAGAAGGAACCAATCGTTCCATCGAACTTTTTTCGTCCATTAAATTGTCGTTAAATTTAATATATTCGCTTAAGGAGGTTTTTGCATTAAATTTATTCCTTCGTTGACGTCACAAACGATCTCTACAGGCGTGCTTAAGAAACGATATTCCCAATTTATTTTGCATGCCTTTGGAATTCCATGATCGATCGTTCCTTTCTAGCATCGCAGGAAGAATGATCACACTGAAAAGTCGCAATATAAAGCGCATCAGGTATAAACGTAAAAGCGTTGCAGACGTATTATCGGCTCGGATTCCATGCGTGATTGTTGTATACATGTCGTTGTATGCACGTTTGCAATTGACGATTCTTCTACGATTCAGTCAGAGCTCGGTGTTGCGCACTTCCGTTCGAATAGTAGTAACGGAAGATTAAAATCGTCGATTCGACGTTGGAAAAAATTCAATTTCACAAAGATTTGCGACGTCAGCGTTGTTCACACGATTGATACGTGGACAGGAAATTTCATTCTCCGTTGAAGTTTTTACATCGTAGGAGTATAATCGTGCATGATTACAAGGATAATTGTATCGCGCCTGTTTCATCCCCTTTTCATAGTACTTCTTTCGAACATCGTTGAAAGTTGTCAGCAGTGAAAGGATTGAATTTATCGTTGAATACGAATGTGCCGCGTTCTAAAGATCGAGTCGAATCGAGAACACGTAAAATCGCCCACTTTATGTGTCCACATTTATACGGAGGAAACCACCGACCGTTTGCTCTAATTAAATCTCTGTGCATTTGAAAAACTGAAGAGGATTATTTTGAGAGCTCGAAAGGATTCGTGGCTAATTTCGTTTGTAGATCGAAATCTGAAAAACAACGCGTACAGAGTTAATGACTTTGGAAACATTGGTCAAATAAATAATTTAAAAAGCCCGCAATGACGTTGCTGTTTCAGGAATTGCCTGAAAAATCGCATAACAATTTGCGAGTGCTTAAACGTTTCAATGGCCGTACAATGAAACGCTGTGTCTTTTTCGTTGCTAAATCCTGCCGAACGAATTTAAATAAATTTTTATTTGCCACGGGGAGCAACGCTGATATTTCGCGAATGACGCGGATTATGACGGATGCTATAATACCGAGTTCCATTTCGTAGCTGAACTTTTGCTCGGCGATGATGAATAGCCAGCTCGTGAAAAGAGCAAATTACGAAAGTTAATTCGACCGCGTGCATCCTGTTCGTTCGCGCTCTGCCAATCGATTAGACAAATACGTTCACAGCAGCTTTTTAACGCGTCTTATACCTTCTATCGAGTGTTCCATCCGTTCTATTTTCCTTCGACCTTTTGCTCTATGACCCTGTTCATTTCTTTCCTCCTTTCTTTATTTCTCATTCCGTTCCATCCTTCGATTCCCACAATTGAGAAAGTATCTTCCATTACCTATGGCGATGAGTAACTATCCCGAAGCAACCGTAGAGAAACTAAAATAAAATGTGAAAAAAGAACAGGGGAAAAAACGAGAACAATGAAAATGCAGGTTCGTAGTTTCGAACATTAACGAAAGTAGACGCGCGTTGCAATTGAGTTTTGAAATAAATTGTTTGCAAACCATCGTTCAGGTTGATTATTAAAAAAAAAGGAAGAAAATAACAATAAAGGAGGGAAACGAAAAAAGTTGATGTGGTATTGATCCTTGTTTTACATTTGCGAGCAAATTCGTAGCCTTATTAAAATTTCATGAATATTACGCGTTATACGCGATATCCTACACAATACCACAATTTAATACTGGTGAAATTATTACGTCATAAATTGCAACATTTCGTTGAAAGAGTTCCAGTGAAATGCGAGGGTATCTGGAAAAGAACGGTTAATTGGGTAAATTTACGTAATAACTGATCTTCTGTCCAGGATCAACTGTTAATCTAACTATCCGTCACATGGTAACCTGCAATTAGTTAACGAGATGACATTTCGAAGAATTTAACGATATATTACAGAATCGTGAAATAAATACTTTATATACCCGAGTATCACGATGTCATAAAGACATTCAAGGATATAATCGTTAACGTAGGGCAAATTTTTATTTAGCAAGTTTCCGTCCAATAATTCATCGATTCATCGTACTGCCGATTTCTTTTCATTTTGGGAGCATGGCGGCCACATTTCGTGCAACAAGCAAACGACACATTCTATTCGACCAGCACGTTTCATCCTATGCGCACCGTTCGCATTTGGTTCGTCATACGGCGCAACTACACTCGCGCCACGTATCGGTCTTCGAAGTAAATAAACTTATTATGGTCGAGTCGTGATAGCGGGAAATTAATTGCTCGGTCGCGGTCGAGTTTCGCCAGCGTGCGTCAGCCTGTGAAATTCATTCGTTACGCTTAATTGTATACAGGCTTCCGTTCAAGGTACACGTGGATCGCGTCGATGTCTCGTAATTTAGATGCTCTTATGTGCGACTGGTCGCCGTCGAAGGCAACCGAGCGAGAAAGAGGACGTAAATAGATGGCGCGCAAGAGTAACCGAACGTACAGCGTGGTGTCGGTGAAACGAATGAAAAGCGGAATAGATGCATCTGTTAGAAAAACCGTGTGTTAAGTTCGAGAGGTTGATTTCTTATATGGCTAGAATTCTTATCGAGAGAGATCTTTCGTTTATTTCTTAATCTTTTCTTTTTTTTTTCTGTCTAAATTCCTCGCACGGAGAAACCACAAACTCACCACCGCCATCGAAAGCGTATCGTGTGTAAATATCGACGCGACGAGAACCAGAGTTCAGGAAGCGTGTGGTGCACGAATTTGACGCAGATGGCGAGATTTCGCGCGCGTCGCGGATCGAACGCTCGTCCTTTTCGGTTATTGGTCTTTCGACAGCAGCGACTCGACCTGCTGGTTACCGGCGGCGCACGTCGACGCGATACGATCAAAATTACGGTTGCGTGGCAACGATTTGCCCTTTCCGACTCAATGACGTACGATGCGTCCCGCTATGGAAAACCAATCTGTCGATCTGTATTTTGACTCATCTCTTTCTCTTTCGCACTTTCTTCCTCGCTCTTTCATCCCTTGTCTTTGTCTATCGCACAAATCCTGGCAGGGTGACTGAATAATTGCAGAGGAAAGGCGATATGATACTCTGATGCTCGCCTTTGTCTCGACGCTTGTTCTCCGTCTTCCTTTCGATCCCACTTGTCTTTCAAAGTCTCGAGTTCCTCGTCCCGCGACCGCTGCCCCGAGTTTAATCGTTTCGCGAGTCTTACTTACCACGATAGCGTTTTTCTGTAGAGAGCCGTCGCATATTGTGTTCATTCGCGATCGCGATCAGTCACTTCGTTTGTGTCGTCGAAAAGTTGCCACGTCGTTCATTCTGATCGCAACTTCTCCATGATGCGCGTACCAGTCCACGACATAATGCTTCGGGGCAATCACGCGATTCGCTGCTGGTTCGTATCGAGTCGAAAGTTTCAACGTCGTCGAACTTCTATGGTCGCTTATCGACCGTCGACACGCCATCATTCGTACACTTTTTTGTTCGTCCACACTAACATTATCGACGTGCCGGCGTTGCGATCGGCGTTTACCACGTCACTGCACCACCGTGCGATTCCTGGTTGCACGAACGCGCGTACTTTCTTTGAGGGCGCACCAGTCGATCCTCGATCGGCGGATCTGACGGTAAGAAGTCTTTCCCGTTCACCGTTTGTCCACGCGATGGAGGAAGAGGAGCAGCGTTTCAGGGTGAAACGGTTAGTAAAGCAGCAGACACAGACAGAGGAGAAGGGAGTAGAGCCTTGGTTGCTTGGCTTGTCCACCATGCTGCATTGCCGCGGGATACTCTCCTGAAACAGAGGACAACACTAAAATTTTCTGAAGGCAGCGGTCGTGTCTGTGAAACTTGAGGCGTGCTGTTCGCATTAAAGAGAAGGGGACTATTCGTTGAACAAGGGGAGGAAAAGGATAAGATGATGCGTTTCGTCCGGGGTCGGCTAGTGGGCTCGTCATCAGGTAAGGCTCTCTATCAGACCCGTGCCTTAAATGCCGGGAGGTTATAGAGAAGTCAAGAACTTCTAATTATAGGACACAGAGGGTTCTACATTCTGTTCAACGTGAATTGGCAGGAGAATTGGTAGGGACACCCCCATGAGGTCATATAGTGTCTCGTAGTTCCTATGGTGCTTATTAGTTGGTATCCTGATGGCCGTATTGCTATGATAGGTAGGAGGTATAAGGGACGCAAGAAAGGGATGCGTTCGTCCTGGGCCTGTTGGTGAACTCGCCAGTAAGGCGAGAACGATAGTCGTCGTGATAGAAACAAAATAGTCACGTGATCAATGGTGAAGATGTAGATAAGTGGCTGCTAAACTTGGATGTTGAGGGTCTCGCAACTTCTCCATGATGCGCGTACCAGTCCACGACATAATGCTTCGGGGCAATCACGCGATTCGCTGCTGGTTCGTATCGAGTCGAAAGTTTCAACGTCGTCGAACTTCTATGGTCGCTTATCGACCGTCGACACGCCATCATTCGTACACTTTTTTGTTCGTCCACACTAACATTATCGACGTGCCGGCGTTGCGATCGGCGTTTACCACGTCACTGCACCACCGTGCGATTCCTGGTTGCACGAACGCGCGTACTTTCTTTGAGGGCGCACCAGTCGATCCTCGATCGGCGGATCTGACGGTAAGAAGTCTTTCCCGTTCACCGTTTGTCCACGCGATGGAGGAAGAGGAGCATCGTTTCAGGGTGAAACGGTTAGTAAAGCAGCAGACACAGACAGAGGAGAAGGGAGTAGAGCCTTGGTTGCTTGGCTTGTCCACCATGCTGCATTGCCGCGGGATACTCTCCTGAAACAGAGGACAACACTAAAATTTTCTGAAGGCAGCGGTCGTGTCTGTGAAACTTGAGGCGTGCTGTTCGCATTAAAGAGAAGGGGACTATTCGTTGAACAAGGGGAGGAAAAGGATAAGATGATGCGTTTCGTCCGGGGTCGGCTAGTGGGCTCGTCATCAGGTAAGGCTCTCTATCAGACCCGTGCCTTAAATGCCGGGAGGTTATAGAGAAGTCAAGAACTTCTAATTATAGGACACAGAGGGTTCTACATTCTGTTCAACGTGAATTGGCAGGAGAATTGGTAGGGACACCCCCATGAGGTCATATAGTGTCTCGTAGTTCCTATGGTGCTTATTAGTTGGTATCCTGATGGCCGTATTGCTATGATAGGTAGGAGGTATAAGGGACGCAAGAAAGGGATGCGTTCGTCCTGGGCCTGTTGGTGAACTCGCCAGTAAGGCGAGAACGATAGTCGTCGTGATAGAAACAAAATAGTCACGTGATCAATGGTGAAGATGTAGATAAGTGGCTGCTAAACTTGGATGTTGAGGGTCGACTTTTAGAAGCCTTTGCCTATAGGCCCAGTGAAAATTTTACTCGAAATATTACATCTTACGCCTGGATCAGCTCGGGTCCAGGTCTGATATTTTGGTCATATGGGCTCATATTTCAATTCTCGCTGAAGAGACTATAAAATCCTTCTAGTGGGAAGTACGTGAACTTTAGGGTCGCCACAAAGTAATAGCATATTCGTACAGTCGTACGTCGTCCAAGTAGAGTTAACATTTCTAGCTAGAAACGTAGAGACGTAATGGTCGAAGTCGTCGTAGTTTCCGGTCGTATCTCAATTTCATATAGCCGAGTCTAATTTTAATGAATTAGAGGGGTGTTCTGATTTGAAGAGTTAAAATAGCTGATTTCTTTCCTTTTCTTTCGTTTCTAATCCCACTTCAAAAATTGCATAACAAAGCGTATCATAGTTTCCTGAGAAAAAATTCCAAATAAGTTGATTCCTATATAATTACTAGAATACCTCCTTAAGCTCTGACTAAGTCCGATACTAAAGCTGCGTAGCCATCGCATTAACGCTTTTATTCGTATAGACGTATGCACACGTCAATATATTTTTAGTCGTTTCAACTATGCGTTACGTGCAAATACGTTTAAACGCACGAACACGGAGCTTTGATCGTGTTGGTGCTTTACCCGGAATTTCTGCTAACCAACGCAATGAAGAGGATTCATTAATTAAACGCGTATGTCGAAGGCAGATCCTCCGTTCTCCGTACATCCTCCCCTAGCGCCTTCCCCTTAGCCGACCTTTGCTTTGACGTTCATCAATTTTAAATTAATATTCAGGAAAAGCTCGTCTTCGTTCTATCGTTATTAATCCGTTCGATAAAAGAAATTCTACGCTCTCAAGAAATTCACGACGTTTATTAATTCCCGTCCGACTTTAAGAATCCGTCCGCTAATGATCCGAATAGCAAAAGAGCTGTTCGTCGCTACTGTGCCGTTTCCTTTCGATTACGAGTAGGTTAAAGGTCGTAATTAAGTCGGATATCACTCACCATTGAGTACGTGAACGGTGATTGATTTTGGTTGAGCGTTACTGGGATTACAGGTATAACGGCCAGAGTCTGACAGTTTAGCGTCCTGCACTAGCAGAAAACTCCTGGTCATGTTACCATTCTCCGTGATCACGGATACGCCATCTCTGGTCGGGTCGTAGGTGATTATCTGTAACAAAGATCGGAAAGGGGGTTCTTTCAGCGACACGAACAGTCGAATACTCTGAAATGTGAAGACAGACATGAAATGAAGGAGAACGACCGGGGACGATCCACGTGGCAACTTCCTCCCTTTTATTCGACGGTTGGCAAGTTGGAATTGCTGGTGGAGGGAGTGGGAGAGATAGGCTTTCGGGACTACATCGAGACGTCCGTCACAATTGAGTCAACGTTGATACGCGGACAGTAGGGTAAAATTCTCTCTTATCCCCTGTGTCACTTATTTTTTATGTCGTCGGAAGTTGCTAATCGGGAAAGAAGTTGTAGAATACGAACGGGAAAATACTGCTGTTTCACTCCGTTATATGCATACCTAAGTAGTTACGAACAGTCTGAAATTTATTTTTGTTTCGAAACTTTCGATCTCGATACCCGTCTGTTTTTTGCACCAGCATATTCATTGAGTTTTTAAATAAACATTTCCTTAATAAGTTACGAAATTTTTGGCAATTTTAACTTATTTAATAGGTGGGAAAAACAGTGTTAAGTAACTTGCATAAAATGTATTAAAAGAGGAAAATTGTCATTGCCGTTGGAAAAAACAGTATTGATATTCATGATTACTGGGCAAACATTCAGTATAAAATGTTTCACAACGTTAAATCGATATATTTGGGAATATAAGACCCCCCGCATATATGGCCAACGATCGGGACCAAAGGTGGTCATATATACGGGGGGCTGTATTTCTACAAACGGTACAATAAATTTATGCCGATTCATGCAAAAGTGTTGGAAATCTATCTACAATACTTTCCTAATGCAAAATAAAAATTAAAAGACACCGTCACATTGTTATTTTTACATAATTGTAATAAAATTTTGAATCTAATTGGAAACTGTATTACTAATAAATAATAACGATACGTTTATCCATGCATGCGTACCTAGACATCTTTCAACCGTGAAAGATTGCTTTCGCTATTTCCTCAAGCACATAGTCAGCGACTTTGGAGGAACAGCAACGATATTGCAGTTCCTTGTTACGAAACTTCTTCACTCATCGTACTTTTATTTTCTGCACTGCAAATTCGCCCGTCACGATTTCGCTTAGATTTCTACGTCCTCTTTCTCGAGCGTCTGTGCACATAGATTCAGAAAGGCTAACACGGAGAAACGTCCGAACGTGCCGTGGTACACAGTGTCGGGCCCTGCAAACGTTCTGTTTATCCTGCGCCTGTTCCACTCGACGTTCCTCGCGAGTGTCTCTTTAACAGGGGTCGCGAGGGTCGATGTTCGCTGGTGAGGGAGCTAGAAGCGGAGCCGGTGTCGTCAGAGCCGAGACGGATTTCTAAATAAATGATCTGCAGCTCGAGCCTTCGGTGCGCTGCTCTTACGTGCCATCTTAAGGCCGTCTTAAGGGAGGACACCCTTTGCGAAATTTCTTGCAACTCGTTCTCGGATTTCTTTTTTCCTCGCGGCTGTCGCTATTATCTTGAAATTTCACGTAAATAAACGACAAAAGCGCTTCAAGTACATGCACGAGCATTTTAGACATTAATGCTTGCCCGATGATCCTAAGCTCGAGATTGTCTGACTATAGCTATTTAATGAAATTCGTGATTGGCCAATAGGGATGTAAAATTTGATAAAAGTGGCACATATTCGCATCAGAAAAAAATGTTGTAAAGCCAATTTGAATTTATTCCGTTACATTTCATTAGTCACAGGAATTCCGTTGGGACACGTTCACGGATTAATTTCAAAATAAAGTTTCAATAACAAGGTAACGAATTTTGTATCCATTTGTTCGGACACGATTAGGTAAAATTTCCAGTTAATCGATAATAAATAAACAGTAGACCTCTTTCTCTTGTTTCACATTTCAGAACATGGGTCTCCTCAGTTGTTCGAAATATGATTAATCGGACGAGAAAGTTGTAATCCACGAGCACGATAAGCCGTGCTCTCTTCCTGCCATTCTGTTATCTAGTCCGCGATATAACGCAGAATAATATGCGAAACTTTCACTGGAAAGTGCACGGTTAATCCGAGCCTCGTGTACGACGGGCTAATAACGGACGCACACGTTTCATCTCCTCGTTCGTGTTCAACGCGACCCAGCACACCCGAGGCCGAACTTTTGTACCGGTAAAAAACTGAAATTTCAAGCCACATCTGTTGTGTGTCACGTAAAAGTCCCTTGTTACAATTCGTCAATTATTTTGCGTGTATTCGTCACGATCGCTTTGTAGTCAAATCGTTTAACGTGTTATATTTGTAATATTTAAGCGAACAATTTATTTCTCGAGAAATTATACAATTTTCGTGCACGAATTTAACAAACATTATTTCTGTATGATGATGTACGACGATATACGATGTTGCACGATATTTTACGATGTTTAGCTCTTCGTGCTACAGTGGCTCCATTCAGGAGAATATTGATAACCCGCAATGTATCATTTGGATTCGTTTCCACGAATATGATATAACTAAGTGACTGAAACTACTGTACGAATAAGTAAATAATTATTTCTAATTTTTTCTTCCTTCGAAACGAAGCTTTTGCTGTGGGAAAGCTTCCTATTGCAAAACTGCAGGTAGTTAAAGACAGTAGAGTTTTAGAAATAGCTTAAATTTTCATTTCAACCTTAAGTCTTGTATAATACGTATCATTATATTTCAGTTGTACTCATGAAATTTGTAAAACGTGAATTGAACAAGAAAAATTGAATTATGCAAATTAGTTATTTGCTATATAACCCACAACTCGAACGAGCTCAAAGTTAATAACGCGAATGAACAAAAATTTGTTAGCATCAAGCGACGAAATTTCCACTTCGTTAGGCTTTCGTATCTTCTTGGACAGCTAAAACCTCTCCTATCCTTAAACCTCTTAAAAATTTCTGATAATCCTCTTAGCGACAAAATAAGCTATTAACGACACGGAGGGTAAGCACTTAATTAGAAAAGACCAGTCCTGTGGTCGTTAAAACATAGTTATAAAATCCTCTTCCTAATTTTCTGTACAATGGAGCATCGCGCACCCCAATTACAGTCGACCTACCTTAAAATCAGAACCTTCCTCCTTTTTTGGTGCTCGCCACGAGCACTCACCTACCATGCTTTCTCACTCCTCCACTTTCCTAGGAGGTTGGTTTAAAATTACATCGACCAATCACCAGTTTCTATTTTCTTTCCTTGGAAATCACCAGTACCATTTCCTTCCCTACTTTGGCTGTGGGAAGAGTATAAATTAGAATCCGAAATTACTTAATTCTCTAATTTTTAACCAGTAAAAATAACAGTGCACAGTCAGGATAATTTCTAACTGTAACAGCTCTTCAACTTAGGGAATTAAAGACTTAGAGAATAAGGTATGTTAATACCCTTTAAATAAAGAGCTAGAAAATCCTATAAATAAAAAATAAATGATTGGTATCTTTATATAAAAGGAAATAACAACGATAATGAAAATAAGAAAATTATTCTTTATCGTATTATACGCAACACTCAATCTTCTAATTCCTTCTTTTATGGTGTACATAACAATCATATGGTTATCTATGAATTTAAACAATTCCTAGTTATATAAGCATGAATAATCATTTTATGAATAAAAATTAGCGGAGTAAAAACGCCATTGTAAAATGATGTCCGCGTACCTGAATATATGTGCATATAGATACAATGACGTTTTTTTTACAAATATTTGATTAAATATCGCTCGATAAAAATTTTTCAGCTTCCGTGTTACGATATATTCAAATTCCTAGATTGTACATAGATCAATTTTTCAAGGCAAATTTTGTTAAACCCAATATTCCACAAGAGACCGTAAGAAATAATATACTACAATAATATCGGAACGAATATTTGCACAACAATATCGCGGGTTGAAACACAAGAGGAGAACAATATCAAAAGTGAAACAAAGGAAAATCCCGAAAGTAAATATAGACGTACATACGTATCAAACTTTCGATGATTCCCCTGCGTCTTAAAAATTTCTCTCACCAAGGAAACACCGGCACGAAATAGCGGGCGTGAACAAATTTCCAAAGGAAACACGAAAACAGCTCAGGCATCCGAACAACGTTCACACTTTTAACAACGCGAGGAATCTTCCTTACTTTCCACTACGAGATATCTCTCAACATTTTTCTTCCGCGTTGCGAAGAAATATTATTTTAAATTCGGTTCCTTCCGAAATAAGTAAGAGTTCGGGAGACCGCTTCGTTTTTCAGGGATTAGACAGCGTCACCAGAAATTCGATGAGAGATGACGCAAATGAAAACGACTGATCTATGAAAGAACGAGGAAATCAGGATTTTACTGTCTCACGATTGCAGATGGTGAAATTTCCGAGATCTTTATTCGAACGTCAACGAACAGAGCAGTGCAATTCAACGAAGTAGATAATTCCACGTGCTCGTAATTTGAACAAGTTTTAAATGCGCGTTGAATCACAGTTTGTACGGCCTCGCAGAGGCGAAACGGAAATGCGAGGGAGCGAGAGAGACAGAGAAAGAGAGATACTCGTCATCCCCATTACGCGTTCATAGGAGAAATCGTCGTCCCATAGGAATCTTAGAAGACTCGATGGAACATCTTGGACTCAATGGTCCATTGGAATGGTTTCCACCCAGCACGTTACTACTTTTGTCTTATCAGTCTTCTCCCGTGCCCCGATAACGACTCCCTTGTTCCGGAATCCACTCTGTCTCTCTCTGCGACCATCACTTTTCCCATGACTTATGTCGCCTCCTCTCGCTTTTCCACAACTCCTCTTTTTTTCTCCTACCTCATCCAGATCTTATCTTAATTTATCTACTTCATTTAAATCGATAGCCTTTCAGCATTGATTGAATCCTTCAGGATCACTCCAACGCTCTCTTTATTACGCGAAATCGCTTCAGAACGTCGGAGACTCTCGGAGATTACTCCAGACTCAATTTATCGTGATAAATACTACGTGCGAAATTAAAGTTATTTCTTTGGATAACG